GTTTGATGGTCCTGGCTTGTTATGGGAGACTTTTGCAGAGCCTGAGTATGGGAGCCCTACATAAGCCCGGTTCAGTGATCTCTTTGAGTGGAGGGAGAGCAGGTATGACTGGGACGACACTCACGAAATTGAGCAAGACCTGGTCCACCTGGTGATGCGAGAGATGGAGCTGGAACAGGGTTACCAAAATCTGTTCCACTCCAGTGAGAAGGTTCAGCAGGGAAGCGGAGACCCAGATCCAGACCCATTCAGCTGGGAAGATATTGTGGAGTGTTACTGGGAAGAACCCCAGGTGGCCAGTGGAGATGGGACCGAGGTCTCTCCACCGGTCCTGCAGGGAATTGGGAGCCCAGTCTCCATTCCCCAGCGGCCGTGTGATTTATTGGGAATTGGGAGCCCAGTCTCCATTCCCCAGCGGCAGTGTAAAGTGCAGGGAGAGGAGAGCAGCGTCCTCCCTCCCCAGCGGCAGGCTGAGTTACAGGGGGCAGAGGTAGTTGTTCCTGCCCTCCAGCAGCAGAGTGATATGCCGGGAAGGCAGTGTGAAGTGCAGGGAGAGGAGAGCAGTGTCCTCCCTCCGCAGCGACAGGCTGAGCTACAGGGAGCAGAGGTAGTTGTTCCTGCCCCCCAGCAGCCGAGTGATATGCCGGGAAGGCAGTGGGAAGTCCAGGGAGAGGAGAGCAGTGTCCTCCCTCCCCAGCGGCAGCATGATTTTTTGGGAATTGGGAGCCCAGTCTCCATTCCCCAGCGGCAGTGTTATTTGTTGGGAATTGGGAGCCCAGTCTCCAGTCCCCAGCGGCAGAGTATCCAGCAGGGAATAGAGAGCCCTGTCTCCTTTCCCCAGCGGCAGGACTCTGTATTGGGAGGAGAGACAGTCGGTCTCCCTCCACGGAGGCTGGAAGTATGTATGGGAGAGGAACTTGCTACCCCCTCTCCCCAGCGGCAGATTATCAATGTGCAGGGAATAGAGAGCCCAGTCTCCTTTCCCCAGCGGCAGAGTGTTCTATCGAGAGAGGAGCCTGTTACCCCCTCTCCCCAGCCACAGCTTAGTGTACAAGGGGAAGACTGTAATATTTTATTTATGTAACGGACCGTTTTGCACAAAAGGGGAAAAAAACGTTTAGGCGATCGGCCCCCTTTCCAGAGATACAGGCACAGCTACTGCAGAACAACAAACTCCTGAACTGGATACAAAATAGCACTTCAACTCCCGAACTGGAACCTCCCAAATAGCTGCTAGCAGACGAACAGGAAAAGCAGACAATCAGCTTACACTCCTGGCAATCAGTCTCTAACAGCATACAGTGAATCCCCCCAAGAACGAGACAAGGCTCCGTGTTGAGGGTCAAGCAGTGGTCTGAGGTGCTGGCACACCCAGCCTGGTTTTTATTACAGTCTTGCAAATACAGGACTGCCCACAGGGAGGTATAAAATATCCAGTAACATATTAGTTACAACCCACAGATTCCCTCCCCCTTATCCTGAGAGGTAACCCAATTACCTCTTCCTTTTTACCACAATGCATCCTGGCTTCCTCTCCTCTGCCCAGGAGATAATTGAGAAGTAAATAAATTATCTCCCAGGACAGAGACAAGACTCCATTATGCACATGGTGACACAAAACAAGCATTACTGTAAAAATACACCAGGTAAGACACATTACATTAGAACTATACATTTAACATATCCCCAGATAGCTCAGGTCTGAGCGCACATTATTAAGTGAATGGCGCTCAGACCACACAAATACAGTTTAATCGCCATGGAGCCAAAGTCTTTACAGTCAGTTTCATACGAATGGGCTCCATGGGATTCCTATCTGGGGTATAACACATTCAAACAAATCTACCGAACCCCAGGCAGAAAAGCACGAATGAAGCTTTTCTGCAGGTAAAAAAGATGTCTTTTAACAGGGGGCCATAGTCCAAAGGCAGCAGGCGAGCAACCAGGCTTCTCCAATGCAATGTGGCAAGATTGGTCTCGTCACAATTTAGTTTTGTAAAATGCTTCCAAAATTAAACAGAATAACAAAATAAATAACAAAATAACAATAATAAACAATCAACTGAAATAATGCCCAATTCAAACATAATACCAAATGAAACATAAATACCCCAAAATTAAACATAAATACCGAAATAAAAACTCAGGAAGGGGCACTAATAGGGGAGTAAACTTATACCAAATTAAATAACTGGGAATAACAGGGAGAGGGATTAACAGAAAAGGGGGGGGAACTAAATCATAAGGGGATAAATTAAAAGGCGGGGGGCTCCATTACTTCATGGAGCCTTGGGGAGGGAGAAAAAAGGCTGAAATGCTCCTGAAGGAGCTCTTACATAACAAGGGGGGGACAAGGGGGGACCCAATTGACCTCGAGTCCACAGCCAGCTAAACACAAACATAAACCAAGCGTGAAATAAAATACACACATAAACATAAACAAACCCATTACCCACATGGAGTCCTTTTCTCAGTTCATAAAACCCACCAACCACATGGAGTCCATCCCTCCGTCCATCAACACCAACCCACCACCTACACTTTAAACCCAAACTTTAAACCCAAACCCACCACCCAAATGGAGTCCATTTTCAATTCATAAAACCCACCACCCTCATGGAGTCTATCCCTCCGTCCATCCCCCAAACCCACCACCCAAATGGAGTCCTTTTCTCAGTTCATCACATCCAAACCCACCACCCACATGAAATCAAAATTTTGTCCATAGACCCACCACCCACATGAAATCCAGTTTGTACACCACCCTCAAGGAGTCCATCCCTCCGTCCATAAAGAAACCCAGTGTTTTTTTTTTGTTTTTTTTTCACCCAAAGTAAATTTTTCAATTTGTCCATACACCAGAAACCCACCCTAACCCAAACAATACCAAAAATAACCTGTGCATAACCATAACCATAACCTAACTACACTGCACTACCTAGACGCAGAGGAAGGTACTCGTCTGCTAAAGGTGGCAGCCTTCCATGAAAAGAAAAACCAGTTCAAAATCTACGGGGGAAAGGTGAAGACAGATTTGGAATTCCCTTCACCAAGACAAGGGCGCCCATGGAGCGGTTCAAGGCGGGTGGACCTTGAGATTTCGCCACAAACGCTGCCAAATGGTGGGATCCATAGAGGCCCTTTCGGTGGTATAGATCCCACGAACCGCCCTCAGAATGTCTGCTACCACCACCTGACAGGAAAGGTCTTTACGTTGAAGGGAAACCTGACACCTTGCCATCCAAGTGAAATACTTAACCACTGAACTGACTACATAAAGAGTGCCCAAATCAAAAGCCCTCCCCCTTGAGTTGGACGTCCCGTACGCCCACTCCGCATAAGTCCAGCGGGATAAGCAGGGGATGCCTAAGGCGGCTGAGACCTCTTTGTAGACCTGTACGTTAAAGGGGCACTCGAGGAGGAAGTGGTCCATGGACTCCACTTCCCCGGAACATTCCACCCGAGGACAACCGCGATCCGTTATGTTCCTGTACTTCAAGTTCCCTCGAACGTAAAGTCTACCGTGGAAGGAGAGAAACGCCACGTCTCGGTATTTCTCCGGAAGGCGCCTGGAGTTGATGTTTTTCAACCCCGAGGCGAGAGTACTTGGCGGGCAGTCCTTCAAAGCAAGCTGAATGCCAAAGTGGGTGGCCAGGACCCTCCCGTCGAGAAGCTTCTTGGGAGTGTCCCGAACCTCCTCCACCGTGACGTTCCACCTGCGCAGAATTCCCACTCCCTCGATGACCGAAGACGGAAGATAGCTAGAATGCCGAACTCTCATGCTCTTCACCCTCCCACCCTGAAACCAGTCCACCAGGAAAGGTGTGACCCACTCCCTGAATATACATACCCAGCCAGGCTGCTCATCCTTCAGGAGAGCCCCAAAGTTCCTTTTCAGGAAGTTGTTAGTTAAAAAGACGATGGGGTTGACCATGGCCAGACCCCCGTCCTTTCTGGCCAGGTAAGTGACCTCTCTTTTGATGAGGTTCAGCCTGTTCCCCCACAACATGCGGAAGAACAGCGCAAACATCCGAGCGTGGAGGGACCTGGGCAAAAGGAAGATGTTACTGACGTAGCCGAATACGGTCAGAACATAGGTTTTGATTAGGTTCACCCGTTCTCTGAACGTCAGTTTCCACCTGTGGCTCTCCTCCACCTTGCTAGAAGCTATGGCAAGCCGTTCGGTCCAGTTCCTGAGAGCCAGATCCCCTGGTCCGAACACCACCCCCAAGATCTTAATTTCAGGCTGGGCCCTCGGGAAACCGTCTGGAAGAGGGAACTGGTCCCCCTCCTTCCCGCACCAGAAAACTACGCTCTTGTCCCTGTTGACACGAGAGGCTGAAGCGGCAGAATACGCTAGGATTAAATCATCCACCTCCGTGGCCTCCCGAGTATTGGAGACCACTATGGAGATGTCATCAGCGTAGGCAACAACCCGTAAAGGCCTCTCCGGAGCCCTGGGATTGAAGGGATTGACTGCAAACACGTACAAGAGTGGGCTGAGAGGACAGCCTTGCCTCACCCCGGATCGGATCCTAAACGTCCTGCCCCTCCACCCGTTCACAAGAGCGAAGCTTTCGGCCCCTCTGTACAAGGTGATTATCCAATTGACGAATTTTCCCGGCAAGCCATACTTCCGCAAGACTGACCACAGATAACAGTGATCTACTCGATCAAAAGCTTTGGACTGATCAAGTGCCAGAAGGTATATCCCCCTTTCTCCATCCCTGCACTTCTCGAGGGCTTCCCTGACTTCGAAAACGGCATCAAAGACAGTTCTGCCCTCGATTGAACAGTACTGGGAGGTGGATAGGACACGCCTCGCTAGGCCCTGTACTCATTTCATCAAAATCTTTGCCAGGACCTTCCTGTCGACATTTAACAGGGATATGGGGCGCCAGTTCCCCACATCCGCTGTGTCGAGCACGTTCGGCTTGGACAGCAATATCAGGGCAGAAGTCCTCATCGAGGTTGGCAATAATCCTTGAGCCAAGCTCTCATTAAACACCTCGGTCAGATGAGGGGCCAAGAGGTCGCGACTTACACATGTTCTGCTGTTGGATACTCTCTGTGACCTCTTCTATGGTGATCTCGCTGACCAACTCGTCAAAAGAGAGGTCGCTATGCTCAGGGAGCGTGAGCTCGCTCAAGAAGTCATCCACCCTTCTCCCGTGGGAGGTTCCCTCCTCGCTACATTGGGGGCTGCCCTTTCCGAGGAGCTCAATATAGTAGTCGCGGACCACCTTCAGAATCCCGCGAGGAGACTCCTCTAGGGTCCCGTCGGTGCCCCGCAGACTAGGGATGGACTTGGTACCTTCCTTCCGCTTGCAGCTAAGATAAGGATCGGGCGAGCGGTATGACCCATGATCCCTCTCTTTTACAAGGGAGGCGTACCTGTCATACTGATAACTCCTCATCAGGTTTTTAACTGCCGCAATGTCCTCGGGGTCACCTCCCTGCGAGATCAGGATGTCTAACCTCCCAAGCAAGCCCAGATACATCTTGTACCTGGAGGACTGCATGTTCCGGGCGAGATTGCGAAACAGCCGTTGAGTTCTGGCCTTCACCATCTCCCACCACTCAGACTTCGTTTGGCCTAAGTCGGCCAATGTCATCTGATCGCGAAAGAATTCCATGAAGGCTTGCTGAACCCTCTGTTCCACCAGGAGGTCTGAATTTAGCCGCCAGATCCCTCTACCCTTAGGTGGGGTACTATAGACGTTCAACTCGCAAGACAAAATGTGATGGTCGGAGAACTCCACCGGTGTAAGCACGGGTGCCGCCACCGGGAAATTCTCCTTAAAGAAAAACCTATCTATCCTACTCTGACAGCTACCTCTGTGATAAGTGTACCCACCCGTGGGATTGGGAGTGTGATGAAGGTACACATCGACCAATCCAGCCTGACTAACCATCTTATTTAAAAAATAGGAGTCATACCCCAGCCTCTGAGTGGCGTCTCTCCTGTCTTGAGGCCTAGTTATGGTGTTAAAGTCACCGCCAAACAGGATTTGCTGGGATGTATAAAGGTAAGGCTCTATCTCAATAAACAGGCGCTTCCTCTCCCACTTAGATTGGGGGCCATAGATATTAATTATCCTGAAAGGTTGCCTGCCCATTGAGACATCTAAAACCACACACCGTCCTTTTTGCAACTCAATAACCCTGTTGATGCTAACATCAACGTCCTTAAATAGGATGGCGATTCCCCCATATCTCTCTGTGGCTAGAGAGAAGTAGGAGGGCCCCCATCTCCAGTCCCGCTTTGCAGCGTGCAGGGCCGCGAGGGTTTCCAGCCGGGTCTCCTGTACCAAGATGACATTGTACGGAGCCCGGCTGAGGTGGTCGTAAACCAAAAAGCGGGCCCTGCTGGACTTAATGCTGTTTACATTCACCGTAGCCACAGAGAGTACAGGAAAAGTCGCCATAAGGGCATTAAGTATAAGGAGACTTTCCCTTCCTTCTGCGGTACCCCTCCTCCTCCGTGTCGGAACCGAGGAACCTCTTCACTGAGACTCCGGGATACAGTGGCCCGTCGTCTCTCAGAAGCACCTCCTGTCCCACCTCAACCCCTGCCACCACCTCGGGGAGGTTCGCCATCTCCTCCTCGTACTCACAGTCGGCCCAGCTGGAGGACAGTGCCTCGTACCTGTTAGATACGGGCACCGGGCCTCCTGCAAGCCCGAAGAGGAGGATGACGCCCGTGCCACACCACCCTTATAAGTGGCGTCTCCCCCTTTCGGGGGTTTCGCCGCAGGGGGTATGGCGATCTTCCGGGGTGAGGGCAGCGTCGAGGTCTTGGAGGGGGGGGGTTTCTTACCTTTCACCGTGCTCCACTCTAGGGACTGTGCATCTAAGGGACGTGCATCTGGGGATTTTTCAGTGGGGGTAACCTTCACCGTGGAGAATTTAGGAGGGGGGGGCCTAGGGGAGGGGGTCTAGGGGGAGCCATAATGGCTGTGGAGGTAGTGCGTTCTCTACGTACACTTTTCGTGAGGGGACGTGAACTTGTGGCCTTCCCAGGGTCCTGAGATGTTACAGAGACCGAGGGGAGGATGGGTTGTTGCTGGGGCAGGGAAACCCTTGTGCCAGAGATGGGCCTTGTAGATGACGATGCTACCTGAACCCCTAACCCAGCAGAGTCCATCTCCACCGGCTCCTGACTCCAGATGGACTCTACATTGTGCTGGGCTTCGGGGCAGGTGCGGTACGTGTGACCCATCTCTGAACACAGATGACACCGGATCTCCCTGCAGCTGTCCCGGAGGTGCCCCACAGCGCCGCACATAGTGCATTTGAGGACCGTACAGGCATTGCTGTAATGCCTGTACGATCCGCACTTGTGACATACCCTGGGCTGACCAGGGTAAAAACAGGATACCCGGTCAGCCCCTGTAGCGGAGATGCAATATTCCCCAGGTTGTCTCCGCTTATAATCCAAGTGAGGCTCAGGAACAAGTAAATAATAAATCCATAGGCAAAGTTTCCAGCAGGTAAAATAACAGCAACCTCCCCGCAGCAATCCCAATAACTGGACGACACACAGTTTCAGGAGCAGAACTCACAAGCCTTTAATCACAGTCTCTTTATAAAGCATGCTCCCATGCAAGGGAGGGATTACAGTAATTATTACAGTAGCCAATCCTGTCCTGGTAACCTCCCACACATCTCCTCCCCTCAGCCAGCATCATAATCCCCTTATCCAGTACACCAATTCCCCCCGTTTCTGGATGTACCCCTAAACGTAGGGGTACCTCTTTAAATCCTACATCCCCTGGTAGCCCTGATCTGGGTGAACAAGATATCCAAAAACCACCCAGATCAGACCAGGGGTTCGGGAAAAGTATGGAGGGAATAAAATGACCGACCGCACGAACTGAGATAGCCGAATTCGGTTCCATGTGAATGGGCCCTGCGGTCGGTCCTGGCATAAGGGAATAAAATACACGAAAACCTCTAGCTATAGAGGCTAGGGAGGGTTCGCCTGAATCCCCTCGTTCGGTATTCTCTATCTACCGAACGAGGGGCCGTTCGGTAGTTTGGAACCGAACGGACCAGGGCTGTGGAGGTCTCAGCGGTGTTCGCCTACTCGAGTGTCCGATTTTAGTTCCAGACACTCGACGGCAAAACACCGCTGTTCGGGAGTTTTAAAATGGCCGCCGCCACGTGTTCGTTTGTCGAATGGCGGCCACCCCCGAGAACAAAGGACGGCTACTTACTGTTCAATTACCCGTTCGCAACAATGTTGCAACGGGTAATTGAGGACACACTTCACACAGGGGAGGTCTGGTTGTTCGGTAGTTTCATTCGAATAAACTAAGGGAACGAAACTACCGAACAATCACAAGAATACAAGGCTTTAGAACACATAGGAAACTAACAGATCACACGAATGCATTTATTTCACAGACATTTGCAGGACAGCCCAGTGCCATCCGCTACACTGCTCCCCCTTGCCCACAAGCCGGCATACACAGTCTGATCCAACACGGATCGGCTTGGGGATGTCCGGGGACTCACGGATCATTTCTCCAGGTCAGTTTGTCTTGACAACCCGTCGGCATTCCCATTCTGTTTACCCGGGCGGTACTGAATATTAAAGTCAAAAGGCTGCAGCGCCAAACTCCAGCGCAGCAGCCTGGCATTGTCCCCAGCCACCCGGTTTAGCCAGACCAACGGGTTGTGATCCGTGAGTAACGAAAAAGGCTGTCCATATAGATACGGCTGTAGTTTCTTTAAGGCCCACACCACAGCCAGGCATTCCTTCTCGATGGCGGCGTAGCTTACTTCTCTGGGTAACAGCTTGCGACTGATGTAAGCCACGGGGTGTTCTCCGCCATCGGCTCCGACTTGGCTCAGTACTGCTCCCAATCCAAACATAGAAGCGTCTGTGTGAACAAGAAAACGTTTAGTTGGATTGGGAGCTGCCAAGACAGGAGCATTTATCAGTGCATTTTTCAGATGTTGGAATGCCTGCTCACACTCCGGGGTCCAGGTCACCTGGCGGGGCAAATTCTTCCGAGTAAGGTCAGTGAGAGGTTTGGCGAGGGCGCTATAGTTAGGGACAAACTTCCTGTAATACCCAGCGGTCCCTAGAAAGGCTAACACCTGGGTTTTAGTCCTAGGAGTGGGCCACTGGGCCACGGCTTCTACCTTGGCTGGTTCGGGCTTCTGTTTGCCGCAACCCACCTATGTCCGAGGTACTGCACCTCGGCCATCCCTATGCTGCACTTGGCCGGTTTCAATGTCAAACCAGCTTCCTTAATCCTGTCTAGAACCGCTCCTATATGGGCCAAGTGCTCCTGCCACGTATTGCTAAAAATGGCAATATCGTCCAGGTAGGCACAGGTGTAGTCTTGGAACCCATCCAGGAGTCGGTCTACCATCCGCTGGAAAGTAGCTGGGGCGTTTTTCATCCCAAATGGCATGACCTTAAACTGGTACAAGCCAAATGGGGTGACAAAGGCCGATTTCGGGATGGCCTCTGGGGCCAGGGGGATTTGCCAATACCCCTTACATAAGTCAATGGTAGTGAGGTATTGACCCCTGGCCATTCTGTCCAGTAGCTCATCTATCCGTGGCATAGGGTATGCATCGGACACCGTTTTCTCGTTTAATCTCCGGTAGTCTACGCAGAAGCGGGTCGTACCGTCCCGCTTCGGTACGAGTACTACCGGAGAAGCCCAGGGACTATCTGAGGGCTCAATTACCCCCAGTTGGAGCATCTCATCGATCTCCTTGCGCATGTTTTCCCTTACCGCTTCGGGGATGCGGTAGGGGGTCTGACGCATCGGTAATTGCCCTGGGGTCTCTACCCGGTGAGTGGCCAGAGGGGTGTACCCAGGTACGTTGGAGAACGTGTCTCGTTTCTCTTCCAACAGCTGCCGTACCTCGATGCGCTCCTGTGGGCTCAGCCGGTCTCCCAGTGTGACTTCCCCTAAATCCCCAGACATCTGCCCATCTTCCAGCAGATCTGGGAGTGGTAAGCTGTCAGACTCATCTGAATTGGGCGCGCATATGGCGGTTACCTCCTCGGAGCGTGCTTGGTAGGGCTTCATCATGTTCACATGGAGCATGCGTCGCCCTCCCGTCCCTGTACAGGAGCCAATTATATAGGTGGTGTCACATCTCTGTTCCACCACCTTATAAGGTCCCTGCCAGGCGGCCTGTAGCTTGTCATGTCGGACAGGCTTTAAAATCAGCACTTTCTGCCCGACCTGAAAGCTACGGTCCCTGGCTCCCCGATCATACCATGTGCGCTGGCGAGTCTGTGCCGCCTGAAGGTTTTCCCTTACCGTCCTGGTTAAGGCTTCCAGGCGGTCTCGGAGAGCCAACACATAAGGTATGATGGGGGTGCCATCTGCGCTCCGGTCTCCCTCCCAATGCTCTCTTATAAGATCTAAGGGGCCTCTGACCCTCCTCCCAAACAGCAGTTCAAACGGGGAGAACCCCGTGGATTCCTGCGGCAGCTCCCGGTAAGCGAATAGGAGATGCGGCAGGAACCGTTCCCAGTCCTTGTGGGTCTCTGCGAAGGTTCGGAGCATTTGTTTCAATGTGCCATTGAACCGTTCGCAGAGCCCATTAGTCTGGGGGTGGTAAGGGGCACTGATAATAGGCTTAATGCCACAGATCCTCCAGAGGTGTTGGGTGAATTCTGCGGTAAATTGGGTACCCTGATCCGAGATAATCTCCCTGGGTAATCCCAACCGGGAGAATATCTGCATGAGGGCATCCGCGACCGTTTCAGCCTGAATGTTGGTCAGAGCCACCGCCTCTGGATATCTGGTAGCATAGTCTACTACCGTTAAAATGTACCTTTTGCCTGACGGGCTGGCTTTCTTGAGGGGACCTATCAAGTCTACCGCTATTCTGCTAAACGGTTCCTCAATTATTGGCAAGGGGTGTAGCTTCGCCTTCCTCCGGTCTCCCCTTTTCCCTACCCTCTGGCAGGTGTCGCAGGTGGTGCAATACCGGCGCACTTCCTGGCTGATCCCTGGCCAGAAGAAATTTTGGGTCAGTCGATACCTAGTACGGCTGACCCCTAGATGTCCGGATAGCGGAATATCGTGCGCTATCCGGAGTAGCTCTGCTCGGTACCGCTGCGGCACCACTAGCTGCCTCGTCACTATTGGGTCTGACCCCTCAATCTGCTTGTCTGTCTCCCGGTACAAAAGCTGCTTGTCCCAGACAAATCTCTCCCCCCCTCCCTCCGGAGGGTCTGCTGTCACCTTGTCTCTGTATACCTGCAAGGTGGGGTCAGTCACTACCTCTGCTGCGAATTCGTTAGGAGGGGCCCAGGGGACACAGTCAAGGGAAGGGGAAGGGTCTCTTACCTGAACCTCCGGAAGTGTGTTGTAGTCCTGGGTGCGGGCCTGTTGACGGGTGACCACAGGATGAGCTTCTCCTGTGGTGGACGTCTGGGGCTCAA